ATTGGCAACAGTTGTTAGCCCAGGTGCCAATCTTCAAAAAAAAAAAAAAAGAAATATAGATTAATTCTAACCTCAACAGTAGTTTTCTTATTGAATGAATGAAAAATGAGATATATATGGTACATCTAATGTACTCTAAGAACTCAAAGGTGAATGATACAACCTTCTGGACTTCAGTGGGCTTGCTTATTTTTTTTTTTTATAGAGTTTCGTATGTTGGGTTTGTGAACTGAAGGGCTTTAGGGAAGCCCATGGATCCCCTCAAATTATATACAAAAAATTAGTAGTGTATATATATTTGTGGTTTTCTGGGGCGATGATCCATAGATTTCATCAGATTTTTAAAAGGCTCTTGATATCTAGAAAAGCTAAAGGAGATAGAACACATCTAACTATAATTTAGTGTAATAAATTTTGTAATAAGGATAAAAATATGATCTTTGGGAAATTAGTATAAATACTGGTGGCCAACCGTATTCAAGGTCCTGCATAGGATTCATTTGATATAGACTTTTGCCTTGTTATGCTCTGTCTCCTGTGCATAGTGTAGTGACTGGTATATAGTGATGTTTGTATCAGTGAGAGTCCAGGTAGTAGCAAATGGATGGTTTTTTTGAAGATAGTTTAATGAAGGGACTATTTGCAGAAGTGTGGGCATGGGGTAAGGTAACCAAAAAGGGGTGATGAATCACCCAAGGACTAGCAACAGTTGGAAACTGTTATCCATCCAGGCAAAGAGGCGAGAGGATGGAAACTGTAGATGAAAATAATCCATAACCAATCTATAAATGAAAATTGGGGTGAGTTTATTATGAGCTAGATCTGAGGACTAGTTTAGGCCAGGGCCTTCCTTCCTCAAGGAAGGAAGGGCACCAAAGAAGTGGGGGTGTACGGAGTGGTTATATACCATCAAAGAGCATGTATCACATATGATTGAAATGTCTCTTTTACAATAGTCCCAAGATTGCTGTGTCGGCATAGGGATTGATGGACACAGCAGGTAGTAGTCCACTGCCTTGGTGGACACAGCAGCCCGTCTGTTGTCTCAAGCTGTGTGGTCACAGGGTGGGTGCAATAATCAATTCCCAGCCTAGGAAGAGATGCTTATCCTTAAGGAAATGCCAGTGTGGGGGAAGTTGCATCTTTACCTTAAGGCCATTTGTTCTTGTCTTTGGGCCATAGTAAATGCTTAAAGCAGATATATAATGCATGTTCAAGGGCCACATCAGGCCCTTTTGGAAAAACAAGATCAGGCCGAATTAGGTTTACACCAAATGGCTTCCTCATATACTCCGATATCCTATTGCTTGCCATTTGTTTGTCAAAACTATGTTACAGAACGCAGTGAATTTGTAGGCATGAAAGAGGAGCCGCTCAACAGGAGCTGTGGTCAAAGAGGAAACATAGCAGGGAATAAATTCTACCATTATTTCTGTCTCCTTCAGCTCTAGCTCTTCTGCTGATGATTTCTGTTTGGAAAGGCAGTCTCATGTGCAGTCTTTCAACCCTGCTTGGCCACGTAAGAGTGGGCTTTGGGCTTGTAACACTTCCTTACCAAGAGATAAGGATCCCACACAGCCTGTGCTGTATTTACCACTTTTTTGGGATAACTTTTCCTTGTGTCAGGCTCAGTGAGTGTTCCTTTGTTCTGTTTGAGCGCATAGTCAGTGCCTCTCGTGCATGCTCTTGCTTTCAGTGTTTCAGACTCAAGGGGTGGGGTGACATGGAGAGGGGGAGTGGTCTTTCTGTTGCAGCCCAAGAGTGGTTCCCTTGGCCTATTTCCCTTTGAGTGCTTACTGCGGGGCCTGGTAGGGGGCACTCACTAGCCATGAGGGACTGATTAGAGCTGACCTTACTCTGTCTCTTCTCTCTGCGAGTAAAGCATTGTTCTGTCCAGTGCTTGACTGTGTTGTGTTTTCCTTGGCAACTTTGATAGCAAGGTGCAATGCAAAGTAGTGTTTGGAGTCCTCCCCTGGGATGAGTAACGCATTCATGGAGTTCTGTTGGACACTTCCTCTCATTGGCAAAACCCAACCAGAAACTAGAGGGCAAGTGAGAACTCGGTAACGTAGTCCTTAGAGATAAGGGGAGGCAGAGGTACCAATCAAGGCAGAGAAGGGTGGAGAGTGGATCTGGAGGGACAAATGGAGAATAATCAGCAGAACGCTAAGTATTTATTTGTTAGATTAAATTGAATTTTTATTGTTAAACACAATTTTTGTTAAAGTAGAAAACAATCAAATGCCTAATGGTTTATGGTTTCTGATATAAATGCCTTGAAATAAAAATCTGTTTGGAATTGTAAAGGCAACTCTCTGTCTCCTCTACATATTTTGAATAGTTGAAGTAGTAAAAATGATATAATAATTTTTAATCTAAAATGTGAAATTAGAATAACTCATCTTCTCAAGACTGTATTTTTCAAATATGCATTTTTCAAAATGTGAAAATTTGGATTATTTAATCTAGAGACAACCAATTCATTTTCCAGGACCTATCTCTAAAACCTCTTCTATGAATCTTCTCTTACTCAGACAAATTTAAGGGTTATGGAACAATGCTCGTACCTCTGTTATATCACTTAGATTCAATAAAGCTAGTTATTTTTATTGATAATATTAAGAGCAATTCACATTCACTGACTGTTTACCATGTGCCAAGTCTCTGTGCTAAATCCTTTATATACATTATTACATTTTATCCTCATGGTAACCCCAGGAAGTGTAGATACTGTTGCTTGGTGCTTGGGATGCATCAGTGGCCAGAACAAGTTCCACAAAGGCCAGAGATCTTTATATTCTTATATTATTATTTCTACACCCTTTTGGTTTTGTTGTTGTTATTGTTAGTATTCCCTAGTTACTCTTGAAGTTGAGCACCTTTTCATATGTTTATTAGCCATTTTGATTTTTTTCTATGAAGTCCCTGACCCAGTCTTTTGCCCATTTTTTATTGGGTTGTCTGTCTTCTTCTTATTAATGTGGAGGAATTCTATATGTATTTTTGGATATGTGCTCATTGTCTGTCATTTGTTGCAAATGATTTTTCCCATTCTGTGGCAGATTCAGGCTAAAATATTAAGAATAGATTGGATATGGGTAGGCCAAGAGAAATACTTCTAGTCAGATGAAAGAATAAACAAAGTTATAGGGAAGGAAATAAATTTACACATGAAACAGTTGAGTAGTTTGGTTGGACTGAGGGTCCTTAAAGTGACCCAAGATAAGACTGGAAAAGTCAAAATACGTAGCTTAGGGAAGTTCCAGAAAGTGACAGCAATTTACCTCAACAGAACATCTTTAAATCAGTACTAACCTCCCTTCTGTTCAGGAATAATTAAGTCTAGATGACCTGAAAGGAACCTTGAAGACTACTTTGCCGCTCTGGACAGCTAGCTCTAGGCTTTCCTTCCTGTGCCAGGCAAAGAATCTTCCTTTATTGAAACTGCCCTAGTGTAATTGCATGGGGAGAAGGTATATCTTAGAGCTGGAGCTAAGGAGAAGCCTAGGTGAGCTTTTTCATACTGTCTATGAAGAGCTCTAGATTTCTAAGATAGAGCTACTGGATATTAAGTTAGAGCACCATCGTAGAGCTGCCCTTTGTTACTGATGTTTCTCATAGAGTCTTCCCTTGAAGATTTAGGGCTCTGGTTTCCTAAGACTTGTATGCCCCTGTGGAACTTGAAGACTGAGGGCTGTAGGGCTTTTTGGTGTTGGCATCCCTTCAGTCTCAGCCTCCTTTTTACGACTTCTGTACCAATGTGAAATGAATCCATTCTGTTCCCTAGTGAGATGATTCTAGCTTTTTAAAAATCTTTGCTAGATCTTATGGATCTTTGCTGGATTTACCTCTCTCACCACTAATCAGACAACATTTCTGTGCTTTCTTTCCTTAATTCTGTATCCATCAAAATTTGATTTGGCTGCAAGTGCCTGAAAACTGAAAGTAACAGTGGCTTAGGAAGGTAGAATTTTATTTTTATCTCATGTAAATAGAGGCAGTCCACGGGTGGTGTGGCAGCTCAGTGATCATCCAGGACACAATCTCTTTTCATCTCATTGTTCTTCCTTCTTTATCCAAGATGGCTGCCCCAGTTATAAGGTCTACATTCCAGCCAGGAGGAAGGAGGAATGGAAAAGGAGAAGGACGTTCCCTTCAGCCCTTGAAGAACTTCTCAGAAGTTGCAGACACCACTCTGCTTATGTCCTATAAGCCAACACTTAGTGAACATAGCCATACTTACTTCTAAAGGAGGCTTGCAAATACATGTCTGGCTAAAATTGGGAATTCCTGATCCTATAGAAGAAAGGGAGAATGGATATTGGGGGACAACCATTGACCTCTGCTACATAAACCTTTTTCTGTTGTGACTTAAATATTTTCCTGAGTTGTTTAAGGAGAAAAGCATAGAATAATATGGCATATATAACTAATTTAAAGTAGAATTTTATCGGAATGAGCTCATAAGTTTAGATTCAGAACTCATGGCTCTTTAAAATTTTTACGTTGGTCTAGAAAGGTAGAAATAAAATACCTTGTAAATTATTCACCATTTTTACTAATTTTTGGCAGTTTGACTTTACTAAAGATGGATCTAATGTTTCATCAAATTTTTAAGTGTAGCAGATGCCACCAAGCATCACAAATGTAATGGAAGAGGAAATATGTGTCTTATATCTTTATAGGAGATAAATGTATTAAACCCACAATATTAAGAACAGTCTATAGAAAACATTTTAGCAATGGGTAACATAAAAGCTCTTGGTTAGAGTGAATTCAAATATATGGATATTAAATGATATCTAGAATTATAGTAGTTAACTGAAAATTAGCTGATCACAGGGCACAGCAGATATAATCCCATAGACACTGCGGATTTTCTTAAAGCAGAGCTTGAAGAAAATGTAGTCTTTAATGTAATTATTCTCATTATTTAAAATTGTTTACTTTTAAAACCCAGTGTGTGACACTCTAAGTGATAATCATTTTTTCTTCCCTAGGCAAGAAGTTTGATAGCTGTAGGACTGGGTGTTGCAGCTCTTGCTTTTGCAGGTAAGATAAATAAAGGATACGTATCAATGTGTTGCAGGAAAAACATTTCCAAATAGCTTCTAAAGTGAGTCATGAGCAGACTCTTAGTATTCTTAGGTTTTTGGTTTTAAGACATTATATATTTACGTTCTTTTCACTGTTTGTAGTCACTGAACATTTGTCAGTGTACAAAATCTAGATAAACTTTGTACGGAAGAAAATTAATGATACAAAAGCTAGGAAAACCAGCCCCAATAATAGTTGGTCTTCCTGGCATTTTTTTTGGTTTGAGCTATAGTGTACCATTAAAAACATCTTGAGTATGGAACAATATAATGGTATGGAGTTCCTTTATTCTCCCGTGTTTATTTTTTCTTGCAGCTGGGATTACACATTTCCTGAGTGTCAGTTTTTTCTCATGAGCATAGTTATTCCCTGTAGTGTATCTATTACCTATTTTTAACACATTGTTGTAATGTCTTTGATAAACCCAGGAGAATTTCTTTTACTGACAAAAATCACCTTTTAAGAAAGAATAGTTATAAAGATTTAAAGCAAAATTGCTGTCTCTTCCAGTCCTCAACTTATAGTTTTAAATTATGTAGTTATTCCCTAATTAAATGCTAATCTGAGAGCATTTCCTTGTTGATAAAGATTTACATTTTTTGTTTTAGCATTTATGTCTCTAAGGTCCATGGATTTGATCTTGTTAATTGGATCTTCTTTTTAGGTGAAGCTTACATTGTGTTTAGTAAGATCCTATAGAAAAATGAGAAAAGATTTTTTGTTTTGCATGGTGTTTAATTTCACACAAGTCTCATTTAAAGCATCTTAACAAATAAGAACTTTAAAATCAAGATCAGTGGCTCAGATTCTCTTGGTCTTTGTGCCATCAAGGTCTTGTATCTCATTGTATAACTATAGTTAACTAATTACTGAGCTTTCATGAGGAGAAAATCATATCTGAAGAGGAATTCTGACAAACTAGCCCATGAAGGTAAAATAATTATAGTATTAATTATTATCGCAGGATAGGCATAGCTTATTCAAATTCAAATGTAAGATTTTTATTTGAGAGGAGAGAAAAATGTACTTTTGCCGGGGCCGTCTTTCTAAAATGAGAATTGGTTTGTGTATTCTGTACATACCACACTGTTGTCAAACAAATTCGTGTTACTAATTAGAATATTAGATAACAGGCAGATCGCTTCCAGAGCCAAATACAGCTGAAGAATAGAATTTAGGAGAAAGTACTTAGACTTGTTGGAACCAGGTCTTCTGGTTTATGATTAAAATAAACCTACAGATGTCACTTCTTGAAGCCTTTAATTGCTTTTTTACATTGAGACAATCTGATTGTAGTTTTGAAGGAATTTTGAGGTGATTTAAAAGCTATATTTTATAATATTGTAGAATCAAATGGAAGTTGACATCTATATGATAAGAGATTTAGATAAGTTGGGTTTCAACTTCATTTAATTTCACTTTATTTGATGTTCTCCTTGATCTCAAGAGCTTTTTATCTCCTACTTAGATTGACTACTTCGCCTCTTCCCTTTTCTGGCATCCTGTTTTTCACCGTAACATATTGTTTGCACAGGAACAACAGTATGTTTAGATAAGTAACTTATTCTAAAAGATCTATGTAGTTGAACTTTCCCAGTGAAAATCTTGATTTACCAATAGGTTTATGGTTAGAAATTGAATTGAAGTCCAGGGTGTCATAACTAGTTTTCTAGCAAGACTTTTTGGAAAAGAGACAGCAGTATCAGTAGACACACATTCTGATTAGGATGTAAAAGGTAAATTACCTGGATATATTTTATTCTTGTTCTATGCCCTCAAAACAATTTAGGGCCTGTTTTGCTATTCTTAGTTGTCAAGACTCAGGGGAGTTTTTATTGTTAGGATGCCTAAGAAAGGAAAGCGCTAAAATAAAATAAGTTTTCAGAAGAGTAATTATCCTCAGTGGGAAATTGATAATGACCATCCTTAGTAAATATTTCCTACATAATAGCTGTTTTACTTTCAAGGTAACTCCATTAAAATCACGCCTATGTTGTATAGATCATAAACAGTATTTGTTCGCTATATATTTCAAAGTGATTGTCACTGTGAAAAACAATATAGTTAATCATTTTAGATTAATGAATATCCTTATAGATAAAAGGACTTCATAGACAGTTTGTTGTGAAAAGAGTACTAGGATGTTATTTTTTGGTGATCTACAACAGTATAAATATAAGATACTATACATAAACATTGAAATTTTCTAATTTTATAATTATGAACTAAAACTTGACAAGTTTAATAGCCATTGTAATTATATTAAAATGAAATTCTGTCCTCCATTCAATAAATAAATTTGAAAAAATATGGCCATCTTTCTGGTGAATTTTGAAATAGTTATTGAAATAACATGTAGAAAGCAAACTACTAATAAATCCTGTAGTAAGCACCTTGTGGGTATTGACTTTCATTATAGAAAATATATTTCCTTTTATTCCTGTTGCTATTTAGGTCGCTATGCATTTCAGATCTGGAAACCTCTAGAACAAGTAATCACAGATGCCGCCAAGAAGATTTCAGCTCCTGTAAGTTAAAGATGGATTTAGTTAGAAAGCTAATTTCGATTTTTGTTTATATGCCATATTTGATAGTAATTATGTCTTGGATAGAAAAATGTCTTGGATTTTCCAGTGTTTGTAGAAGTTTACTGCCTTTGTTACATCATCAAGGAGTTTGTCTAATTTATTAATTAAGTTTCTTGGTCACGTTATTTTTATGTCTAACCTTATTCTTGGTTTTGACATCTAATTGTTATGTTCCTTTAGTAGTATTATATAAACTTTGAGGTAATTTATTTTTGTTGTTTAGTTAGTATTCTTTTATTCATTTGGTGATTGTCCGCCATATATCAATCCCTGTGCCAGGAGCGAGGCCTAGGTGGTGAACAAATGGTCCCTGTTCTGTTGGAGCTTACCCAAGAGTTTATTTCATCTTGAAATTTGAAACTAGTCCCCTTATACCACTGCAGCTGACCATCTCAAACATAAAATTATAAGATTCCGACCCTGATATCCTGATGGACTTACACATTCATCTGCCAACATTGTAGCTACTCTGCTGAGCTGAATATAAGTGAAGAATAAATGATAGTAGCTATCTAAAAAGCTATGGTGTAGTGAACTGTGGTCTGTGACCACTGGAGACCATGCAAAGAAAACTCAAGCAAGCAGTACAGCATAAACATTGACCTCTGGGAAAGAGAAGCAGATCTGGGATAGATCAGCTTGGCTTGTAGCAGTTTGAGAATGAATGGCTTGTTTTAGCAAGGCATTACAGGCTTGTGAAGCTTAGTCAGTCAGCAGAATGACCCCCACCTTCAAAGGATGACATACTGACAAATAATTAAACTCAGGTTCAAAAGAACTGTAAGGGATTTTGCAGACTTATAAATGCATGTCTGTTGATTAGAGGGAGCGTGTGTTTATTTTCTGTTTTATTACTTATGTTTTATCTGGCTGACATATTACTAGGTATTTAGCATTGATTCAATAAATATTCATTAAGCATCTACTACATACCAGATATTCTTCTGAGGAGTGGGATATACTTATGGACGGGACAAAGACACTGCCCTCTATAGAAGCTTACATTTTGTGGAGACAATTAACAAATGAATAAGTAAGATATATAATATGTAGAAATGTTGAATGCTTTTAAGAAAACTAAATCAGGGTAAGAGGTTAAAGAATAATAGCAGAGAGGAATCTATATTAGATAGGTCAGGGAAAGCCTTTCTGAGAAGATAAGGGAGCACATCATGTGAAGAAAGAGCTTTCTAGGTGGCAGGAACACTGCAGATGTCCAGAGGTGGGGATGAGCAAGAGTAACTCCAGTGGAGTATGCAAAGGGAATAGTGGTAGTTTGGGCCCAGATCACTTAGAGCCTAGTAGACTATGATAAAAGCTGGAAATTTGACTTTAAGTCTGACGGAAAGCCTTTGGAAGGTTTTGAACGTGGGGGCAATGTGATTTTCATTTTAGATTATCACCCTGCCTGTTATGTAGAGTATAGACTAGAATGAGTAAGAGTAGAAGCTGTGAACCAGTTAAGAGAGTATTGAGATAATCCAGTAAGATGAGGTGGCTTCAAACTGAGCAACAAGAATGGAAATAGTGACGTAGTTTGTTAAATGAACATTGTTTATGTATTTCCATATGTTTATAGATAATAAATGGAGAGAATTTCAGGAATCAGTTCTTTTCTGTTATGGTGATCTTTAGTAGATATATTTATACCATAAATACAAGACTCCCAAGCTTTGTAGACCTACATTATTTATTTAATGTTGTAAAGGAAGAGAGAGCAAGAAAATGAGAAAATTTTCACGGCTCTGTGGAGGCTCACAGATAAGGTAGAGTAGTTTAAGAGATTGTCGTGGGTTTTCGGACCCTGCCACCTGCACTTCTTGAAGAGAGGGAATTGATGCATGTCCCCCTTTTTCTCTTCTTTCTGGGCTTCAAGTTAGGAAATATGGCCCCTTTTTCACAAAGTACTACTCTTGCAGTTTGCAGTGAAACATTTTAGAATATCTTTATCATCATCATCATACTTATACCTCAGTGAAGATATGAGTTTTTTTAAACAATTGTTTAAATATTAATCATTCCAGGGAAATTGAGAAATGAAATATGTGCATACTTTCTCTTGGCACTAATGATTCCAGAAAGTCAAACTTTATAAACGCCGTGTTTACAGTGTTTTGATTTTGTAAATATGATTCATTATTGAACCAAATATAGTTACTAAAAAATAGGATCTGTAATTGTATGCCACTAAATCTCTGTCGCTCAAAGGAGAATGTTCAAGGCTCAGGTTCCTATGGGTTCTCTTTTCAGTTTTTTCTTAAATTTTATTTGCTTCCTCTATACTTTAGCATCCTCTTGTTCTTAAATCTCATCTTTATTTTTATCATACTTTTTTTTCTCATTTTGCTGGAATACTGCCTCGTTTTTTCATATGGAATGCATGGATGGTAAATGTTTTAAGTTCTTCTCTGTTAAACAATTTGTTTCTTTTGTCTCACTGTTAATTATCACTTAGCTGCTGGCTCCTTGGAATCTGGTGGAGCTAATAGCAGGGGAGTACAGGAATCTCTGCTCAGACTGAACCTCGGTGTCCATATTCATACTTTCCTCCATACTCTTAGCCAGATTTTTTGTACTCAGACTCTCAGGCAGAGTTTCTGGTGTTCTTATTCCTTTGTGTGCAGCCTGTTTTGGTTTTCTTTTGTTCTTTGTGCTTTTGGTTTTAAGTTTTTGGTGATTTTTGTTTGTTGTTTAGCTCTGGAAGTTTCGAGGGTTTTCTCCTTATTGTTGATGTTCTGAAATTTCACAGGAATTCTTAGTGAGCCTTATGTGAAAATTGTCTATCTTTTTTTTGGTAAGATTCTCTTATATTTTTTCCTTCCATTGTTTCTCTTCTCTCCTCCTGGAACTCTTATTAGAGAGATGTTGGACCTCTGAGTCTCTCCTTTATGTCTCTTAACACTGTTTCTTATTTTCTATCTTCTTTTTTTGTTGTGCATTTCTCAGTATTTCCAGAGATTATTTTCCAGATCACCAGGTTGGCCTTTACCAATGGCCATTCTCTTATGTAGTCCACTCACTAAATTTTTTACATCAGTAATTTTTTCCTTTCCAAGAATTTTTGTTGTTTCTTTTTCATAGTAACTTATTCTTTTATGGACATGCTGTCCTTTTGAATATCTCTAAAGACACTAATTTGAATTTTTTCAAGTTCTCTTCTGCTTCCTGATTAATCTTCTTCCTTCAAAAGCAATTGTTGTTTGTTCATCTTGGTTCTATTTTTTTTCCCCCATGATACTAGATTTGTTCAAATGTCTGGTGGTCCTTGGTTGTTGGTTTATGTTTATGAGGACTAAGTTGATTAACAGAAGCGGCCTTCCTCAGCAGTTTGGTAGGCTTGCTTCAGCAGTTTAGTTGAATGAGAGGATTGATAGTGGACTGTGAATACATTTGTAGGTTATGTCAACAGTCACGTCTTCCAAAGCAAGGAGCCCAGAGGCAGCCTTGGGACCTCCAGAGTGCAGGAGCAGTTGAGTACTATGTGTGTTTTACTCCTTGGCATAACTGTCCCCTTCTCCAGCCTTCTGGGTTCTGAAACATGATCTCCTCTTACTCCCCTCTGCTTATCTTGGGACCTAAGATTCACAATAAGATGCATCCATATGTGATTCTCTTTCTTAGCCTGAGGGCTAAAGTGGCAGGTTGCAGGCCACTTATGTGCTGTATTAATGGAGTTAGGAATGGTTTATTTCTGCTGTTCTGGTTTAATTAATTACCCTGATATTATTTATTGTATTTGTTGACTCTGAATTTAGTGTTTTCTTCTTGATTTCCTGAGAAGGTTTTCTTTCTTTCCTCTGGTGATTGGGGCTGCTATGATTTTTCTGTATGTGCCATCTTATCTATTTTCAATCTTCTGGGACTTCTTTAAACTTTCTGATTTGCTACTTGTCCCATTTCTTGTTTTCTAGGTTTATTATGGATTCTTCTTGTTTAAAATATCTCTTTTCTCATTTCAAAGGGACTTTGGAAAGCAAAAGTCCTTTATTATTCAGTCTACTGTTTTAAACTAGTACCCTTTTGCTTGATTTTCTAAGTATTTATGTATATTATTGACTCAGCTAATGCCTAATTATCCCTGGTTGTTTTTCCTAGGGAAAAAACCCAAGTCATTCATCATCTTTTGAAACTTTTATTTTTCTATTTGTGAATTTATCGTTTTACTTGAATATAGTTTTTAAAAATTAGACTTCTATTGTTTTATGGTTAAGTGAAATTCATGGAAATGACACTAATTGAAATCATCCTTCTGTGGCTCTATAAATCAAATAGATTATTGTACATAATAAAAATTTATGGTTTGTGGTAAATGTATTTCTTCTCTTAAGACTATGGAATGATATGGTTCTTCTCTGGTTGTCTGGAGGAGTTTTTGTGTTTCAAGTCATTGATTGAGTAAATTAGCTCATGAAGACTTTTGTTTAACTTGGTTCATTTCATATTTCCTGTGATACTATATGGCATTACCACATTTAATGCTAATTTTAGAAGGAAAATGATTTTGATTTCTGTTGTTTATATATACTTTCTGAATAGAATAATGCAAACTAATTTGTAAGGTTTTTCAAATAGCTGAATAAACTAGTGGAATCCCACTGTTTCCACTTTTGGAAATTTTATTGGAAAAATATAACCATTACTCCGTCTGTTCGATGATATAGTTGTTCCTTATTGTAATCTCATTTTTATGGATCTAAACATTTCTGTGGCCCACCAGTGTTGTCAGAAAATGGTTCTGAATTGCCTTATATCTGTATATCCTAATATAATGCACTATCGGTATACTGTTTGTAAGTTTAAAGGGCCTTTGTTTGTGTTTTATTGGGGGGATGCCGAGGGGTAGAGTTATAATTTTGTGCTTGCTCATGACACAGATACTAATTTAAACCAAATAATATGTTCAAATACTATGATAGCAGTTTTATTCTGTTTAAAATTGTGTAATATAAAGCCTAAATTTCCTATGAATTTAGAAAGCATGATTTTCGCTGCAGAAATGTGCTGAATAACATGAGCAATGTTTTTATTTTTTCCTTGTCTACTTTTCTGTATGCAGCCCCCAAATATTAAATTTGTATCCTCAGAATTACCTAGTTCTTTCAGAAGAGTTGTGATGTTTTTACATGTACAGACTGACTTACTCAGAAGCAGGTCAGTATTTTAGGGTACGAGCCTCAGCTAGATGCTAGAGTTTAAGTAGCTTTTCCTGAGTCTTCTTTTCCAGCTGGGCAAAACTGAAAGGAAAAAGTTACTTAGATACAGTACCTGCTTTTAGGGTTGATGAGCTTTGTGACTACAGTGGGAATCACAGTTCATGAAACATCATCAATTTATGTTTTTATGCTGAAAATTTGAAATTTTGGAGCTCCCTAAGGTAAGTAAATAACTCATAGAAATATCAGGGAATAAAGTGTGCATCTAGTAAAAATTTTGGTCTCCTGAGAGAAACCTTAAAACCAACTGTTCTTCCTCAGTTAAATCCCCTATTCCTTTGTATATGTTCCCCTATATATCCCTTATTCCTTTATATATTCCCCTGTGTGTGTGTGTGTGTATTTTTTTTTCTGTATGTATAAAATTTGTCCATGATAGTATGTATACTTAATTTGATTCCCTTCCTCCCCTCACAACCTGGAGGAGGGGATTGTTTTTTTGAAACTTGGAATATTTTATCATATTCCTCACAGTACTGGTACATTGATAGATTAGCATCTTTGTGATGAAGGACAGAACTTGACCTGTTCATTTGAAAAGTTCCTGGCACATAGTAGCTGCTGAAGTGTTTGTTGAATAAATTAATTGCCATGGAATTATTACCAAGTGGAAATTTATAAGAAGCTGTTCAAAAAAAATATCTCATATAAATGACCAGATCTGGTTCCCTGACTAATTTTTTAAGCTCTAATAATTTCCTTGGCTTCTTTTATTTAGTCCTCCTTTTTTTAATTGTACAAGCAGCCTGTATTCATTATTGAAAATTTGGAAAGTAAAAATGAACATAAAGAAGAAAAAATTATTCATAATCTCATCACCCCACAATAACATTTTGATGTATATACTTTCAGATTTTGTTTTATATAAGCATACATTTATTTATTTTTCCTTCCAGAAATATGGTTCACATTTTAGAACCATGTATGCATTTCTTTTCCTTCTAAAAGTTGAGTTCATGCATCCTGTTTCTCTATTAAGAGCTCCTGAAAAGTTATCTTTCTTTGCTGTCTCTCATTCCTTTACTCCTGTTCTCTCTTAAGCTCACTCTAATCAGACTCGCTCCTTCAGCTCTTCTCAAAGTCTTTGACTCTGCTAAATTCAGCAGTCAGTTCTCAGTACATATCTTACTTGACCATCAGAAGCGTTTGACATGGTGTTTGAAACTATTTTCCACTTCCTTGCTTTGGGTGTCTGCTTTTCCTCCTGCCTCACTGCTGGGCCTTCTCAGTTTCCTTTACTGATTGCTCTCCATTGCTGTGCCACTAAACATTGCGGTCTCTAGGGCTCAGTGTTTGGACTTGTCATCTACGCACACTCCTTAGATGGTGTCTCATGGCTTTAAATACTGTCTGTATGCTTGTGACTCCCAAATGTTATCTCCAGGTCAGACTTCCCCTCCACTTAGATATTTAGTAGGCATTTCAAACTGAATATAACTAACACCAGTCTCCTGATATCTGTTAGCCACAACAAACAACTTCTTCTCTAAGTCATTAAATGGCAGTTTGACCATTTAGGCCAGAAACCTTGAAGTCATTTGCAGTTTAAGTTCTCTGGAAAGTGACTGAGAGAAGGATTAGCAAGCTGGGAGTTTATTAGGGACTACTTTTAGGATCAACAGCTCCAGAAGGGAAGAGAAGGAAGAAGGACAGAGAGGCAATTTCAGCTGCAGTGCAGTCTTAACAAAAGCCTCAGCCAACCTCATGGGGAGTTCTGAAGCTCAGCTGGCTCATTGTGATTGTCCCAAGTTGGGGCAAGAGGCCATGAGACTAAATGATATCATCTGGGAAGTCAATATAGATAAGTAGGTCAAGGACTGAGCCCTAGAGAACTACAGTGTTTATACCCCCATGTCAAGCAGTCATGAGAGAGAGACTGCCCTGGGAAGGGGGCATGAGCCTGGATTTCTTCAGCCAAGCCACTTCCTAAAGAGTTTGACAGCTGAGAGCTATCTGCCAGCAACAACCCCAGCATCTGAGGAATAAGTCCTTCACTTCTGAAGGGGAAGCTACACAGAGTATAACAGTATTTACTACGTCATCTTTCATTCCTCTCTTTTTCTCGTATCCTATATCAATCCACCAAGCAAATGTTAGTTCTACTTTCAAAATAAATCCAAAATCTGACCACTTTTCGCTACCTCTTCTGCTACCATGTTGATCCAACCACCATCATCTCTTGCCTGGATTGTTTTCATGTCCTCTTAATTGGTCTCCTGCCTCCACTCTTGCACCTTTCTATTCTGCACACAGCAGTTAGAGTCATCCTTTCAAAACAAAGTCCAATTTGTTACTCCAGTGCTCTGACTTCTCCTACCACTGAGAATAAAATCCTAGATGATTTCCCTTGCTTACAAGGCCCTCCACAGTCTGGCCCCGATTACCTCTCTAAATCTGCTCTCCTTGCTCACGCCTCTCCAGCCACATTGACCTTTTAGTCCACTTTTCCGGTCTCTCTTGGCTTGCCTGTCTGCTGTCCTGAGGTCCTCCCCACTTTGTCAGTTCCTCATCTTCTTTCTCAGCCAGTCTAATGGGTTAAAAAGATGTCTGTCATATCAACATTAAACGACTTGGTCAAGGTTATCTAATGAAAAAACTACAGCAGAGCTTAGAAAAAGCTCAAGCCTTTTGCTTCTCCTGATCTCTTTTATTCCTTCAGTTATATCTCAGTGTAGAAAAATTAATGTATTTGAAAGTGGAAATTTGTTAACATTTTTTAAGTGCTCATCTTGGTCATAGTTTCTTGTAAAGGATCGTTCTTTAGTGCTTTTTTCCCCCTACAATTTTAAGTTGACTTCTAGTAAAATGCATTATTCTTACTGCAGCTACGTGATGGGATTGAGGTCATGCCACCTCATACAGGGAACTAATTATTTCTTGCTCTTTCTTTTCCTGTACAGAGCCTGTCATCCTACTATAAAGGAGGATTTGAGCAGAAAATGAGTAGGCGAGAAGCTAGTCTTATTTTGGGTGTAAGGTAGGTATACTGCATAAGTAGTTTGTTCTGTGAGCAAGCTTGTCTTAAGAAAGGAGAAAATGCTACCGTGAAGTTATTCTTATATTTTAAATTTTGAATAGGAGACAGAGAAGAAAATACCATTTTTACATTTTAAAACTTCAAATCTAAGAGAATATCCCATACCCCTTGAAAAAATCAGGCAAAGTTGTGATGGGTCTTTGTTCCTTAACAGGCTATTATATTTGAATACTAAAGTTTCAAAGCAATTATCAAAATATCCCTTATTGTGACACTGAATTCTTTCTGGATTCAGTTTTATAATTTGATATGTACCATATTTTCAATTATAATATGGGATCTGTTTCACAATTATTTTCTAGTTCCACTGTTTGACGTCTAGCATATTTTACTGTGACTGTTTCACCGTAGTATCCATTTATTGTCTAACTTTGGACAGTATAGGAGAAAGTTAGTGATATTGTGTGACTGCTGCATAATACATTTAACACTTTAAGTTAAGAATACTTCCCCTATCATAGATTTGCCTTAGCTGTATTCATTTGTTTGCCTTATGTTCTCTTAGAGCCCACTCACATTTTTGTGGAAGTTGGTGACAGTGCCATCTAGGACAGATCTTCTGGTGATTTAATCAATATAATTAAGCAGAATAGATTATAAAGTCCTATATTGACATCCTTTTTTTTTTGTAGATTAGCAGATTTTTAAGGCCAAAACATTTTATTATTTCTTATAACTTAGCAAGAAAAACAAAGGGGGTGGGGAGAGAAGAAGCAACTAAATTTAGCTTGGTGCTTTATTTAAATATAACAAGAAATGAGCTCCCTTACTGAGAATACGAAAAAGGAAATGATTTTAAGCATGGGAACCAACTTAGGAAGTTACCTATATTGCTAACTATTCCTTGCCTTAATATTATTCAGAATGGTGTTATTTTTTTTCTTGAACTTCTTTTGGGCCCCCATAACATCCTGTTCGTAGTCTTGAAATGTGAATATGAAACACATTATAAAACCAAACACAAAGGCTTCTGAGACTATCATTTAATATCACCCAAGGCAGTGCTGTTGTCTGGACACATAATTAGAATTAAGATACATGTTTATAAAGTTTTATCCCATTGAATTGGAAGTTGTACAAAATTTCAGAAAGAAAATGTGGTGGTTAAGAGCACAGATGCTGTTAACAGGTGAATCTGGGTGTAAATACCATTTTTACCACCTACTAGCTGCATGACCTTAGTTTCATCATTTGTAAAATAGAGATAATATTAGTTTCTACTGTACAGAATTGTTACAAAGATTAACACATATGGAATTCTTAACATAAACATGGCGCTTAGTAGCTACTCAATAAATACAGCTAGGCAAAACAGCTCCTTGTCCTGATTCTGTCACTGAGGCACTGCATCTTGTGATCTTGATCAAGTTATTTTTAGCTTTTCTGCACTAACAGTTTCTTCATTTTTGAATTGTAATTAATAATACTTAGCCTTATTGGGATACTATAAAATGATATGACAATACCTTTTTATAAAAGTGCCTACCAAATAACAGGTACTAAATAAATGTTGGCTCCCCTTTCTTCCCGTCTCTGTCATAAATGCAGAAGCTAAATATTTCCCTTAACACATTAAATAGAAAGGTAAAACTCATTTGCTTTCCTCTAGCCCTTTCTTTCGATCAGGCAATGTTGATTTTGAGAAGATTCTTCAAGATGTGAATACATTGCTGTGGCTCCATTTTGTGCAATCAATGAAGCTAAACTTTTTAGACTGTAACAAGTAGATAAAGGCAAAATGGAGCTCACTCTGTTGACAACCTATTAAAAAATACCTATGTGCTACTAGATGATTCTACACATTCTTGTATATTGCATAAAGCCTAAATGTTATTCAAAAGATCAATAGTAAAAGAGATAAAATGAAAACAGCTCCATTTTCCACAGAATCAGGGAACACCGCTCAGCTCCACTCCTGGTCAGATGCATTCCAGGGAGCATGGTTTGAAATTCCTGATCTAGGCAACATATTTAAAGTTACATTTTCAATTTCATGGTGAAATTGTCCATACTGGAGATATGTCAGAGCTACAGTTAGTTTTTGTACTATGTTTAAGAACTAGGATTCTCCCGTCTTTAATCTTTACAACAACAAACAAATGTTTTAAAATGTATGAAGGTCCTAGGGGCTTAATATAACAATAGTGAAAAGAGAATAAACCCTGCAGGTGAACAAGAATACTTCCCTCATCCCCAGTGCTCACCACTAGGAGTGTAATAATTCTTTTCTTAAAGGCAGAGTGTTGTAAATGGCCGTATTTGGGCATATGAACTTTCCTTGTGTTTCTCACTTCAGTATAGTTCAGTGGTTGGTAGACCTTAGTGTACATAATGCTTTATGGAATTTTACATACAAAACCATGTATACTGTTTGTTAGTGGCAATGTAAATGTTTTTCAAGGATAATTTTGACTGAAGTGATTTTCAGATTTTTGTCTTATGTGCTAAATTAAAGCTTAATATCCAGAATAAGATGCAGCTTACTATATATATATATATATATATATATATATATATGTATATACTCCCAAAAAACCACATACAATGGAAATTTGGATTTTACTCAACTTATGTATTCATTATTTAGTGGTCAACATTTGATAAGCTTTATGAAATAAGGTTTTCCCCTTTTTTAATTTTTTTAATTAATTTTTTTTGAGGTGACATTGGTTTATAAAAGTATGTAAATTTCAGGAGTACGTCATTATATTTGGATTCTGCATAGATTACATCATGTTCACCACCCAAAGACTAATTACCATCCATATCCATATCCCCTTTTTTACTTTAAAATTTTTTGCAATACAATAATCCTTTATACTGTTAGTATCTACTAAAATAGAGACTTTATTCTTTCAAGGAGTTTACCTTTTTACAGCCATTTTCTGTTGGAGGGCAGTGTAAAATACATTAAGCACCTATTGCATATTCAACACTAGATACTATTTTAAGATACAAATCACAGCTTCTGCCTTTAAGTAGTTTAGTATGTACCTAAGGAGATGTGTCAAATATATACAGAACAATAGAAAACATTAATAAAAGAAAGATGTGCTACAGAGCCCCAAAAGAGAGAATGATAAATGTAGATTAGCTATAGGAAACTAAAGCATACTGGGATTTTTCTAGGTGATGTGTTTTTCCTTTCTTAATAGGCAATTAAAAAAAGTGTTCATAATGCTGGTACAATGTTTAATGATTTCTTTTTCAAAATTCAGTAGTCTTTGTAATCAGATAGCATCTGGTTGTCTGGGAGGTATCTACAACCAAAAGTAAATTTGAGATGATCCCCAAAAGACTTCTGTAAAGAGCCAAAAGGAATACCCCAAAGTCCTTATACAAAAAGACTTGTTTATTTAAAAGAATTTTTTTAATATTTTTAAAAAATTTCCCCTCAATTTCAATGATATATAATTGGCATACAGCATTGTATATTAAAGTGTACAACATAATGATTTAATATTTGTATTTATTGCAAAATGATTACTGCAATAAGTTTCATTAACATCCTTCACGTCGCATAATTACAAATCTTTTTTCTTGTGATGAGAACTTTTAAGATTTACTGTCTTAACAACTTTCAAATATACAATACAGTGTTGTTAACTGTAGTCACCATGCTGTATATTCCATTCCCAAGACTTATTTGCCTTATAACAGGAAGTTTGTACCTTTTGACCGTTGAAATGAAGGCCTATTTCACCCAGCCCCCTTCCTCCCACCTCTGGCAACCACCAGTCTTTTCTGTTTCTATGAATTGACTTTTTTATATTCCATATATAAGTGAGATCATACAGTATTTCTTTTTCTCTGTGTGACTTACATCACTTAGTGTATTACTCTCAAAGTCCATCCATGTTGTTGCAGATGGCAGGATTTCCTTCCTTTTTATTTTTTTTGAGGAAGATTAGCCCTGAACTAACTACTGCCAGTCCTTCTCTTTTTGCTGAGGAAGGCTGACCCTGAGCTAACATTCCTCTACTTTTTATATGTGGGACATCTGCCGCAACTGACGTGCCAAGTGGTGCCATGTCCGCACCCGGGATCCGAACCAGCGAATCCCGAGTCTCTGAGAAGTGGAACGTGTGCACTTAACCGCTACACCACCAGGCCGGCCCCTCCTTCTTTTTTATACCTGAATAATATAATATTATATATATATGTATATGTGTATACACACACACACAGACACATACTGCATTTTCTTTATCCATTCGTCTGTTGATGGACACTTAGGTTGTTTCCATGTCTTAGCTGTTGTAAAGAATGCTGCAGTGATTATGGGGTGCAGACATCTCTTTGAGACAGTAATTTCGTTTCCTTCAGATAAATACCCAGAAGTGGAATTGCTGGATCATATGGTAGTATTTTTAAATTTTTGAGGACCTTTCATAATGTTTTCCATAGTGGCTGCACCAATTTACATTCCAACCACAGTGCACCAGGGTTCTCTTTTCTCCACATCCTCACCAACACTTCTAATCTCGTGTTTTTGAGGATAGCCATTCTAACAGGTGTAAGGTAATATCTCATTGTGGTTTTGATTTGCATTTTTCTGATGATTAGTGATGTTGAGCACCTTTTCATGTGCCTATTGGCCATCTGTATGTCTTCTTTGGAAAAATGTCTATTCCGATCCTCTTCCCATTTTTTAATCTGTTTTTTGCTATCAAGTTGTATGAATTCTTTGTATATTTTGGATATTAACCCATTATCAGATATATAATTTGCAAATATTTTATCCCATTCTGTAGGTTGCCTTTTCATTTTGTTGATGGTTTTCTTGGCTGTACAAAAGTTTTTTAGTTTGATGCAATCCTACTTGTTTATTTTTGCTTTTGTTGCCTTTGTTTTTGGTGTCAAATCCAAAAAATCATCACTAAGACTGATGTTGGGGAGCTTACTGCCTATGTTTTCTTCTAGCAGTTTTATGGTTTCAGGTCTTACATTCAAGTCTTTAATCCACTTTGAGTTGCTTTTGTGTATGGCGTAAGATAGGGGTCCAGTTTCTTTCCTTTGCATGTGGCTGTCCAGATTTCCCAATACCATTTATTGAAGAGACTATCCTTTCCCCATTGTATATTCTTGGCTCCTTTGTCATAAATTAAGTGAACATATATGTGTGAGTTTATTTCTGGGCTCTCTATTCTATTCTGTTGATCTCTGCGTCTGTTTTTATTCCAATACCATACTGTTTTGATTACTTTAGCTTTGTAATATAATTTGAAATCAGGAAGCGTGATGCCTCCAGCCCTGTTCTTCCTGAAGATAACTTTGGCTATTTGGAATCGTTTGTGGTCCCATACAAATTTTAGGATTGTTCTATTTTTGTAAACAATTCCGTTGACATTTTGATAGGGATTGCATTGAATCTGTAAATTCCTTTAGGTAGTATGGTCATTTTAACGAAATTTCTTCTGATCCATGAGCGTAGAATATCTTTCCATTTATTTGTGTCTTCTTCACTTTCTTTCATCAGTGTCATAGTTTTCAGTCTACAGGTCTTGCACCTCCTTGGTTAAATTTATTCCTAGGTATTCTGTTCTTTTTGATACAATTATAAATGGGATTGTTTTCTTAATTTCTCTTTCTGCTAGTTTGTTATTAATGTATAGAAATGCAACAGATTTTTGTATATTGATTTTGTATCCTCCAACTTTACTGAACTTGTTTATTAGTTCTAATGGGTTGTTTTTGTGGAGTCTGTAGGATTTTGTATATATAATATCATTTCATCTACAAATAGTAGCAGTTTTATTTCCTCCTTTCTGATTTGGATGCCTTTTCTTTCTTTTTCTTGCCTAATTACTCTGGCTAGGACTTCCAGTACTGTGTTGAATAAAGGTGGTGAGAGTGAGCATCTTTGTCTTGTTCCTGATCTTAGAGGAAAACTTTTAGTTTTTCACCGTTGAGTGTGGTGTTAGCTAGGGGCTTGTCATATGTGGCCTTTATTATGTTGAGGTACGTTTCTCCTGTACCCACTTTGTTGAAAGTTTTTATCATGAATGCATGTTGAATTTTGTCACATGCTTTTTCTGCATCTATTGAGATGATTGTGTGATTATTATCCTTGTTTTTGTTAATGTGGTGTATCACATTGACTGATTTGCAGATATTGAACCATCCTTCTATCCCTGGAATAAATCTCACTTGAGCACTGTGTATGATCCTTTTAATGTATTGTTGAATTCATTTTGCTAAAATTTTGCCAAGGATTCTTGCATCTATGTTCATCAGGGATATTGACCTATAATTTTCTTTGCTTGTAGTGTCCTTGTCTGGTTTTGGTATCACGGTAATGCTGGCCATATAAGATGAGATTGGAAGTGTTCCCTCATCTTCTGTTTTTTGGAAGAGTTTGAGGAAGATTGATGTTAATTCTTCTTTAGATGTTTGGTAGAATTCAGTGAAGTCATCTAGTCCTGGACTTTTGTTGGAAGGTTTTTGATTACTGATTCTTTCTCATTATTAGTAATTGGTCTTTGGTCTGTTCAGATTTTCTGTTTTTTCATGGTTCAGTCTTGGTAGGTTGAATGCTTCTAGGAATTTATCCATTCTTCTAGGTTGTTTCATTTGTTGGTGTATAATTGTTCATAGTAGTCTCTTACGATCCTTTGTAATACAACAGTTGTAGTATCTCCTCTGTCATTTCTGATTTTATTTATTTGAGTCCTCTCTTTTTTTCTTGGTGAGTCTAGCTAATGTATATTTTGCTCATCTTTTTAAAAAACAAGTTCTTAGTTTTGTTGGTCTTTTTCATTGTCTTTTTAGTCTCTATTTCATTCATTTCCACTTTGATCTTTGTTATTTTCTTCCTTCAACTAACTTTGGCTTAGTTTGTTCTTTTTATAGTTTGCTGAGGTGTAAAGTTAGGTTTGTTTGAGCTCTTTCTGGTTTGTTTTTTATTTTAAGATTTTATTTTTCTTTTTTCTCCCCAAAGACCCCTGGTACATACTTGTGTATTCTTTTAGTTGTGGGTCCTTCTAGTTGTGGCGTGTGGGATGCTGCCTCAGCATGGCTTAATGAGCAGTGTCATATCTGCACCCAGAATCCAAACTGGCGAAACCCTGGGCCACCAAAGTGGAGCGCGTGAACTTAACCACTTGGCCACGGGGCCGGCCCCCTCTTTTTTCTTAATGTAGGATTTTATCACTATAAACTTTTCTCTTAGAACTGCTTTTGCTGCATCCCATAAGTTTTGATATGTTCTATTTCCATTTTCATTTGTGTCAGGATGTTTTTTGATTTTTCTGTTGAGTTCTTCTTTGACTCAAAGACTTATTTATTTTATTCATGGAAGAATATTTCATATTTTTATTCAGCAAATGATCGTGATGATGACTGGTGATCTGTTAGTTAACCCCAGGAGATTAGAAGTGGCATGTAACTAACAAGGAATAGCTAGAGTCTGGAGGTCTGGCAGAATCAAGGATTAACAACTGACATCAAGTGACATCAAGGAAGGCAGTGTTCAGAACATACAGAACTTCAATGGATAGCATTCTATGAGTGGTTAGGAGAAGAGCAAGTGAATCTCTGCAGACCTTGAAAGTTTCTTTGCACTTAATTGATACTCTTAATAATGCTTTTGAGTCATTCGAGAAGTGTTAAATTAGGTTACTTATACTCCATTTTTAAAAAGTGGAAAATATGTCATACATATTCATAAGTATCCTTTATATTCATAATAATAATTGCTATTCTTTGAACACTAACTGCCTGCTAGGTCATGCTAATCCTTTTACTTACGTTATCTACAACAACTACCCTGTACTTTGCCAGCTACTATTATCCCCATTTGAAGCCTAGAGAAGTTAAGTAGGTTGGATAAGATAATATAGCTATGAAGTAAGTAGGGACACTAGGATTTTGTTGTTGTTACTGTTAGTCTTTTTTCCTTGCCTGGAAAATGTATTAATGAGAAACATTTCCAATACTGGATAAATTAGGTTTTACCAAAATAATTTTAGGTTTATTCAACTTTCTCCTTTAATTTTTCTTTAGAGAATAGGCTCTAACAGCCAAGCTTTGCCTGTAGATTTCTCACAGAGATAAATAATTATGAGAAATGAAGGGTTTTGAGCTGCTCTGTTAAAAGATGATAATAATAAAAGCTAATCATTGTGGAGTATTTCCTACACACCAGGCATTGTTCTAACACTGTTAGCATTAACTAATTTAATCCTTATAATTGCTCTATGAGGAATATATCTTTGCTAGCCCTGTTTTACAATGAGGGAACTGAAGCACAGAGACGTTAAAAAATTTGACCAAGGTTGCCCAATCCGAAATGGCAATGCCAGGATTAAAATCTGGCAGTCCAGTAGCTCTGGAGTTCACATACCTATCTGTTATACTACATATACTCCCTTCCCCGAAAGTGACTTGAAGCATAAGTTTTCACACTTATGGTATAGTCTACAAACTATGATTCCCCTACCGTATATATTGTATTTAATTTTTAAATTGATCGTGAATAAGGACTGGCATTAAAAAGAACTGAAGAAAATATATGTAGCATTGGAATCAATTATTTATTTTGATGGTTAGTGAAATTAAGTGACAAGATGTAATTTCATATTTATCCACAAGATGGTGAAATTCTCATTAGTTTTTAATTTCTTGAAACCCGTGTAAACCATTAATTTATAATCTGCATTTGACACTATTTATTATAAGCACTTCTAATTTCTTTTTACAGCCCGTCTGCTGGTAAGGCCAAGATTAGGACAGCTCACAGGAGAATCATGATTTTGAATCACCCAGATAAAGGTAGGTAAAATTCCTATTTTTCGTAACATTTGGGTCAGAATATGTTCTAAATTCCTTTCAGTTTACCTAAACTCATAAATGATATATAGTTGAAATGAAAGTTTATGTGCCACATGTATTGTGATTTTTCTTATAAATAAATGAGCCTTTGGATTGGATTTGATTGACCTATAGAAGTGGTGGATTTATATTATCAGGTTTCAAGAACTTAGATACTGATTTTTTATATGAGTACCTAACCCCTATTTGAGACTTGTAGCATTTTGATTGAGAAGGAGAAAACATGAGTTGTGGACTCTTTGTATAAACTGATTTGGGCACCGTGAATTGTATTTATTTAACCTTAAACATAAAAGCACAAGATTTAGAGGATATCCTCTAAATCTCTCAATGTAATATGTCATAGGTATTTCTGAATTTCTTAATTTTATTCTGGAAGGCTCTGAGCCTGAGCCATTTGTTTTTAACTGGCCAGGTTTTTAATGTAAATTTATCTTACAGAAAGACAATTATTATAACTTTAACTACACTACAGCTGCTTGAGAGAGAAAGCCCATATGTTCCTTACTGTTTCTGCTCTAAAATAACAGATGGTAGAAAGTTGCACTGTATTTCAGAAGTCAAGGGCCGGGGGTGAGGAGAACGAAGGGTTTCTTGGATTCTTATTTACAGACTTTCAGTTTTCTAATTAGTGTGAAAAAAATTAAAAACACATTTTGGATTTCTACCCATCCTGACACCAAAATAAGGCATTCTTTTTCAGCTTTCTCACTTAATTACTTACTATAAAAATTCTTTTCACTAAACATCATCTCCTTTCGTTTTTGCACTTGCTGTTCTTTAGCGTGAATAAACAAGAGAATAAACTTTGAAAAGAGGTTTTGCGTAAAATTTCTAAACAGCTTCAATAGTTGCTGAAAGATCCACTCAACTAATTTGCTTGCATTGTGGGCTTTCAGAGAAATTGACTCAGAAAGAAATGTGTTTAAGTGCCTCTTTGAAACCCTCTGTCTCCTGAACGTCCTCTGTCCCTTCCAGGTCAAGTGTGTGCCCTTCTCTGATTGATTGCAGTGGGATCAAACACTCAGGTCTTTCAGATGATTGACAAGTTGTTGATTGTACCTACTGGCAAGGAAGCAAGTTCTAAAATGCGTCTAAGAGAATATGTACTTTTAGATACCTTTATAAAAAAAAGAAAATATTTGTGTATGTTAAGAGCCAGTAGTATTTAAAGAATTACTTGATTTATTCTGAGATTGTACATTTATGAGAGGTGGGATTGTTGACTGCCTGTAGTTTGCTTACTAATATCCTCCTCTCTGGCCCTGTATAGGAAGCAGGGTGTGATGGAATGGACCTGCAAGCAGGAAACCAGCCTTTTTATCTGGCTTATGCCTTCTAGCTAGTAATGTGACCTTGAACACTCCCTTAATCTCTCCAAATGTCAATTTTGTCATCTATAAAATTTAAAGGGATTTATTTCTGAAGCCCTTTTTAGTTTTCTGATATAATATTTTTATATGCCTATTCAATTAATGAAGAAGCTGTACCCTATATTTCTATTCAGATCACATTTTTAACTTAAGAAAGATGCTTTTAATCTTTTTGGAGTATTGTACCCTCTAAGAATGTGTTGACATTTTGTCCGTATAATTGCTCATTGACCCAAGATTTTAAAACATTTGGAGTTTCAGAGAGTTCGAAGACTTTGTAAAACCCATCCGTATACTCATAGTTAAGAACTCCTGCTCTAGTAAAAGTATGGTGAGTTAAGAAATATTGGAACTACTGGAGGGGAAAAATTCATGTATGATGGAGTTGGGAGATGATAGCTCATAAATCTAGAAATTTTTTCTTGAAAAGGAAGGTTGTTTTGTTTTATTTTTAATGGAAAGAAGATAGCAGATTTTGAACAAAAATGTCTGATTGTCCTTGGAGTGAGAAAGCTGGAAGTATTTGGGGAAGTAAAAGAATGGGAAACTCTTAATTTTGCTGCCTCTTTTTATAATTCTTCACCATAATTGCTTTGGTCAGGTCACCAGTGAGTGTTACAGGTGGTTGCAAAAACTTAAATCCTCCACCCATTGCTTCTGAAATTCATGAATGCCCTCCCCCAAGTGACTGTTCTGTTGGTTTTGCTCCCAGCTGGTAAAATAAAGTTAGAACTTCAAATGTGTGATCAACTATGGTTTGTTATACCTTTCATTATCAGCTTGAGCAAAGAAAGTGACACCAGAAAATTATGTGTGGGAAATAGCTGAAAATAGACTTTTTGTAACCAGTTTTAAATGAGCATTCAGATGTGTTTTGGTAAAAATAAATTTTGCTATTTCAATTTAGTGAGATAAAAGGTCGCTGCAATAAAAAAATCTTAGGTCTTTGATCTAGTGCTTTCAGACTAATATCTTTTAGATTATGCTTCTTTAAATTGCTGAAGAGAGAGATTTAGTTGTTAAAAAATGAAGTAGTTTGACATTAATGCCCAATGAATATAGAAAGGAGAACAGACTAGGTAAATTTGGAGCACCGTAGAACCTGGGATCTCTCACGGGCTGTCTAATCCAGTGCTGCTTAAAGTGTGCTTCACCTGTCCATGCCACACCACAGTTTGTGTGTGGCAAGGTAAAAACAGAAATCAAAAATAGGCATTTAGAAATCTTTATAGCGATGTGACATCTGAATCTTGGTCTACCACAGATTGGAAAATTTTTTTGAAAGTGCTTCTTCACCATAGTTTGAGAGACGCTGATCTAATCAATGCTGCCTCCTAAATCCAGACTGTTTCTGCTCCGTCCTGGGAAAAATGGCCTGTTAGCTCTCTTTAAAGATTTTTAGTGATGGAGAGCTTGCTGCTTTGCAAGGCAGCCCATTGGTAGGCAGCTCTAACTACTAGAACGTTCTTCCTTACATTTAGCTAAAATCTGCCTGCCTACGTTCTTCCTCACATTTAGCTGAAATCTGCCTGCCTACAGCAGAGAGATTCTCAATCTTTTCCCATTTATGCCCCTTTTCAATAAGCATATAATACTTTCACTCTTCTTTAATAGTATTTTTTAAAAAATCAAATATTGGGATTAAACACAAATTAATTATACTGTTGAATGGATTTTCCCTAATTACTCTCATTGTAGAAAAAGCTAAATTTGATGTGGAACCCTGATAATAGTTTATTACAATATATTGCATTCAAAAGATGCATTGTAAACATTTAGAAAAAGATATGATCGCCAAGTCAACATGGATTCACTGAGAAAAAGTGATGCCGAATTAGCTGTTTCCTTTTTTGATAGATGTACTAGGCTATTATTTGTTTCAGAGGGCTCATTTTTCCTTTTCCTTCATGTAAACATTTTAATTAGATTTCAGGCTTTATATTTGAGTTAATTATTTTTTTGGTAAAGAGGTAATTTTGTTTTATCACACGTTGATTTTCCTTGATAAATGGTGAGACCTTTACAAGTAAAGAACATGGCTTATTCATCTTTATACCTGTATGGCTGACATTTAATAAGCTCTTTAAGTTTTTTTTCATGAGTAAATGAATAAGCAAATGGATAAAAAGAAGGCATACAAATAAAATTTACAGGTAAAATAGAATTTGGAGTGACAACTAATACATAATGATCATATCAAAATTTTAAAAGACTCATTAGACTGATATGAAATAACCTGACACTGTTCTTTCATTCATTCAGAAATTATTTATTCAGCTTCTACAGTGTGCCGGACATTGTGCTAAATCTTGGGACTTTAGTAAAACAAGACAACTAGATCCTTGTCCTCATGGAGCATACGTTGTAATGGAGGGACAGGAAAAAACCCAAGTAAACCTATTTCAGGTTGTAGTAAGTGCAGTAAAGGGGGCAATGGACTGAGATATAGAATATGTGAAAGAGGCAACTTTACATAGGGTGATTGGGAAGGCCTCTCTGAGGAGACCTAAAGGATGGAAAGAAGCTAGCTGTGTGAAGAGTGTTTGGAAAGTAGAGGAACTAGCATCTGCAAAGGTTCTAAGGGAGGGAAGGATTTCTGCTTGAGGACTTGAAAGGAACTAGTGGTATCCATCTGTAATAGGCAAGGGGAGAGGTAGCATGAGATGAGGTGGTGTCCAGATTTTGAAAATTGTAGGTATGCTTTATGATAATAAAACACTGTAGGTTCTGTATATTTGTACTTTATTCTAAATACAGTGGGAAGTTACTGTCAGCTTTTACTTTTTACGAAATCACTTTTCTCTTCAATCTCTATTTTTATTTTTACGTATACTTTGTATTGAAGTGTAATATACAGGCAGAAAAGTGTACAAACTATAAGAACATATCCAAGTAAATTTTTACAAACACTCCCGTATAACCAGCCCCCAGATCAAGAACTAGGACGTCACCACACTCCTGAAACCCCCTGGTGACCCCTCCAGTCTACCTCACTCTTGAAAGGAACCACTATCTTGATTTATAATATTATAGGTTAGTTTTACCTCTTTTGAATGTGTGTGGTCATTTGCATCTGACTGCTTTTGGTCAATATTATCCTTTTGAGATTTATCCATATTGTAATGTGGAATGATAGTTTGTTCATTCTCATTAATGTATGGCAGTCTTAGAAAAATTTGCTTTGTGGACCACCAGGGGTTCCTGAGATTCTTTCAGGAACTCTGTGAGGTGAAGACTGTTTTCCTTTTACTGTGTTGACGTTTGCACTGACAGCGTAAAAGCATTGTTGGATAAAACTGCAGGTACATTTACACTAGTAAAGACAGTTGCACCACCATGTCCATATAACCATATGGGAAAAATGAATCTTGACCCTAATCTCACACAATATGGAAAATTAATTCTTAAGGGATTTTAACTTAAATGTGAAAGGTAAAACAGTAAAGCTTCTATATATTAAAAAAAAAAAAACATCGAATAGGCAAAGACTTCCTACATAGGGCATAAAAAGTGCTTACTATTTATTTAAAGAAAAAAAAAGGGCCGCTGTGTACAAGAAAAATTAGC